AGACCATTGCCTTCACCACTAGAGTACAAGTTCATGTGCTGAAGGGCTATGATTATTTAATAAATAAAGTTCATATGAAAAAACGGTATGGTAAGATTCGAACCATCGATTTACCACTTTGGAGACCATTGTCTTCACCACTACTATGAGATCATGTGCTGAGCGCTATGAATATTTGATTTACTTTAACGCTTTTGACAAGGACATAATGAAAAAGGTTATGGTAAGATTCGAACCATCGACTTACCACTTGGGAGACCATTGTCTTCACCACTAGACTAGATCATGTGCTGAAGGGCTATGAATTTATTTATAACTTTTGAAAAGGACATAATGAAAAAGGGTTATGGTAAGATTCGAACCATCGATTTACCATTGGGAGACCATTGCTTCACCACTAGACTACAAGATCATGTGCTGAAGCTATGATTATTTAATTTACTTTAACTTTTCACGAAGTTCATATGAAAAACGGTCATGTAAGATTCGAACCATCGATTTACCACTTTGGGAGACCATTGTCTTCACCACTAGACTATGAGATCATGTGCTGAGCGGCTATGAATATTTGATTTACTTTAACGTTTTTGACAAAGGACATAATGAAAAAGGGTTATGGTAAGATTCGAACCATCGACTTACCATTTGGGAGACCATTGCCTTCACCACAATTATACTACAAGATCATGTGCTGAAGGGCTATGATTATTTAATTTACTTTATCTTTTTCACAAAGTTCATAATGAAAAAACGGTTATGGTAAGATTCGAACCATCGATTTACCATTTGTGAGACCACTGTCGTAACCACTAGACTACGAGAACATGTGCTGAACAGTTATTAATATTGATTTACTTTAACCTTTTCACGAAGTTCATGATTATAAAACGGTCATTATAAGATTCGAACCATCGTTTTATCACTTGGGAGACCATTGCCTTCACCACTAGACCACGAGATCATGTGCTGAACGGTTAAGATCATTTGATTTACTTTAACGTTTTTGACAAAGGATATAATGAAAAAGGGTTATGGTAAGTTTCGAACCATCGACTTACCACTTCGAAGACCATTGCCTTCACCACTAGACTACAAGATCTGGTGCTGAAGTGCTATGATTATTTAATTTACTTTATCTTTTTCACGAAGTTCATAATGAAAAAACGGTTATGGTAAGATTCTAACCATCGATTTACCATTTGGAAGACCATTGTCTTCACCACTAGACAACGAGATCATGTGCTGAACAGCTATTTAATATTTGATTTACTTTAACCTTTTCACTAAGTTCATGATGATAAAACAGTTATGGTAAGATTCGAACCATCGATTTACCACTTTGGAGACCATTGTCTTCACCACTTGACTATGAGATCATGTGCTGAGCGGCTATGAATATTTGATTTACTTTAACGCTTTTGACAAAGGACATAATGAAAAAGGGTTATGGTAAGATTCGAACCACCGACTTACCACTTGGGAGACCATTGCCTTCACCACTAGACTACAAGATCATGTGCTGAAGGGCTATGATTATTTAATATACTTTATCTTTTTCACGAAGTTCATAATGAAAAAACGGGTATGGTAAGATTCGAACCATCGATTTACCATTTGGGAGACCATTGTCTTCACCACTAGACTTCGAGAACATGTGCTGAACAGCTATTTAATATTTGATTTACTTTAACCTTTTCACGAAGTTCATGATGATAAAACGGTCATGATAAGATTCGAACCATCGATTTGCCACTTTGGGAGACCATTGTCTTCACCGTACTAGACTATGAGATCATGTGCTGAGCGGCTATGAATATTTGATTTATTTTAACGTTTTTGACAAAGGACATAATGAAAAAGGGTTATGGTAAGATTCGAACCATCGACTTACCACTTGGGAGACCATTGCCTTCACCACTAGACTACAAGATCATGTGCTGAAGGGCTATGATTATTTAATTAACTTTATCTTTTTCACAAAGTTCATAATGAAAAAACGGTTATGGTAAGATTCGAACCATCGACTTACCACTTAGGAGACCATTGTCCTCATCCCTAGGCTACAAGATCATTTGCTGAAGGGCTATGATTATCTAATTTGCTTTATCTTTTTCACGTTGTTCATAATGAAAAAACGGTTGTGGTAAGATTCGAATCATCGATTTACCATTTGGAAGACCACTGCCTTCACCACTAGACTAGAAGATCACGTGCTTAACGGCTAGGATTATTTCATTTTCTTTATCTTTTTCACGAAGTTCATAATGAAAAAAAGGTTATGGTAAGATTCGAACCAGATTCGGACGTTCCTGGACTCGAATCCCAAGTTTTAAAAATGGGAGAGCATTGCGTTCACCACTAGACCAGCAGAACCTCAGGAGTGTCACTACACTGTTTTATTTTTACCTAATTTTTTACTTTAAACAACCTTTTTTCGAAGGATTTTACGTAAGTTTAAATACGTTTGCTTGGATGATGATGATTTCTATTTTGTCTAAAACGCACAAACGTGAATCTTATTCGTAACTTTAACCTAATTGATTCATTTATGCTGACGCTACCGGGTGTCCCAAAAAAAGTACCTATTTTTAATTCAACATAACTTAAAAACGAACTAAAGAATTGCAATAAAATAGTCCATGTGTAGTTGAGTAATGTCTAACTTAAAGTTTGATATATTTGATATGAAGTTTGAGCAAGTAGTTTCCGAGATATTCGCGTTTAAAGATACAGTAACGTTTTGAAATGTGTCAAAAATCAGCAAATAATGGCTTGTTAAATGCAACAATCCGATATCTACAGGGGCAATTTCCTGGTCGACTCATGAGTAAACGTGGCGATTGGCCATGGCCTCCACGCTCCCCTATCCTGACGGTGTGTGATTTCTTCCTCTGGGGCTATTTAAACAGCAGATTTGGGAAGTTCCTCATGACCAACAACCTCAAAACTTGGGAGATCTTCGCGAGGCGATTGTTAGGTCATGTCGCTATTTGGACGCCCACATGATTAAAAGGTCTTTTGATAGCATGCTGAAACGGGCAAGAAAGTGCGTTGCTGCTGGTGGACATGAATTTGCAGATGAATTAGAGCAAAAAAAAAACGATTTTTAAAAAAACAACTAAAAAATATGTTACAAGATACCATGTTAGGAACCGGTATTGTTGAAACAAGTTTAATAGGCCATTTTTCCTGATTTTTGACAAGTTTCAAAACGTTGCTACGACTTTAAACGCAAATATCTCAGACACTACTCGTTCAAACTTCATATGTAATATATCAAACTTTAAGTTAGACATTACTCCACTTAATATGGATTGTTTGATTGCAATTCTTCAGTTTCCTTACAAGTTATGTTGAATTAAAAAAAGGTACTTTTTTGGGACACCCGGCATAATATCACAGGTATGGAGACCATTGAGAAAAGGTGCAGCGCTATTTCACCATAAGCTAGTTATATGCGGCCCAGGTGAAGCAAATGGTTACGGTGCGATTGTTTTGTATTTTTAATGAAGTCAAGTCTGATTTCACAGATCACAAATTAAAATTTGAGGAAAATGGTAATTCAGATTCATTAGAATGTTTCAACATTTTCCACTTATTTCATAGCTGAAATTGTACTCCAAATCTCCATTATAACGCAAAAGATATTAAATAACTCTACTTCTCTTAAGCTGCGTTTACACGGTACCATCCGCTCGTCACAACATCTTCGTTTCCATGCAGCGTACACCTAAGATCCTATAAGACACAGTCACTGTCGGTCACAGCACGGCTACCATCCCCAGTCTGATTTATTTATGTCAATTTCTTTCTTATATTACATACCGTCAATTACGTATCACAATCGCTTAATCATCATGTTCCTCTAGCAAATTGTAGTTACAAGATTATGTATTGCGATATGCATTATTTACGCAATCATTTTGATCGCGCGCCACACTTTCTTCTCACATTAGTTTTGGTCCCGAAAACGTTAAAAGTTGATACAGAAACTACGATCAAAATCTCCCGATTCCTGACCAAGACAAACAAACCAGGACAAGCAAACTTTCCCTGCTCAGTAGGCATAAAGTAAGGTTTTAGATTGTCGTGATGGACCATGAACTCTCGACCTGTTTCTGATCTAATCTTATAATTTACGCCTAGTCTTCCTAACAATAGTGTGAGGTCCAAGCTGTTTGGGACAGAATTTCCACTCCTTTGGCCGCCTAAGCCATACATGCTCAAGCCATACAAAATCTAGTTTCCTGCTGACCCAGCAAGTCCGACGAAGCGAGGAGTCCTCGGAAGGATCGCGAAAGTTTATGATCCTCTCGGGTTGATTTCGCCCATTATTCTGCAAGGAAAGTTCCTCTACCACGAGTGTTGTGACGCTAAGGTCCCCTGGGATGCCAAACTGCCTCGTGAGTTAGAAGCTAGATGGACGGCGTGAGAGAAAAGCCTACAGAGAACGTGACCGCACCAATTAAGGAGTCTAGCTAAGTTCCAGTAGCCAATTGAAGATACAGGTCATTAGACCCTTACAAAAATAAACTATAGTTTTTAAAGGCGAAACTATAGTTTTAATAACTGTAGTATTTTGGAATAAACTATAGTGTCTGAAACTATAGTTGTTTTAGTGAAAACTATAGGTTAAAAACTATAGGTTTGTTCGAAACTATAGTTTTTACATGGAAGCAAAAGGTATTCTTTAAAAAAAAAATAATTTTGACGTTTACCCAAATAATAACTGCTGCACAAAGCAGCTTTAATTTCACGAAGCTAACACAGTTCTAGTCATGCTGCCAATAATCAAACGATATTTTAACGAAAAAAGGGATTACGTTTTATTTTACTTCGGTCTTTAGTACCAGGGGATTTTATTATTAGTATATAATAAATGCAGAATATAAAAAAAGAACTACTGTTTTGAAATTTAGGCATTTACTATTAATTTAAAGGGCTAAAAACTTTCTTACAATGATACCGTTTCTTTGTATATGTTCAAAAAATTCCTGTGCCATAATACTGTTATTCTTGTTGCTTTTTGAACGCCTGTTCCTCATTGTTCAGTTTAAACTTGATAGCTTTGACAATGTCCTCGTCAATAACAGGCCGCTGAAGTTCGGTGTATCTTACACTCTTGGCGTATTCTACACAAAACATAAAGAAGGGCTAAATTACTAAATCAGTAAATATGCCAACACTGCGTTTTTCTTTCAAATGCTGATTAGGTAAACAGAAATAGTCCGTCTTTGCAATACAAAGATTACGTATACACTCAAAACCAAAAACTTACTTATTAGGGAAGCTGTGTAGTTTGGATCAAGCTTTGGCTTTGTTTGCCCATTCTTCCCTTTCTGCCCTTTGTAACTGTGTGTCGCCATGTACTCTCTTGTGAGTGTTGCTCCCATCAGGTTTGCGATAAATGATCCTACTTTCTTCGTCTTTATTCGTTGAAGCACATTCTTTGAAATCGACAAGCCTGGTCCGAGAACAACCTGTTAGAAAATAAATCAATACAATAAATTAGTAAAAAAGGTGAAAAAAACAATGTAAAGTCATCCAATGAACAAAAATGTTTTAAACCACGGTACTAATAATTCCATTTTCAAGACACACTCTACCTAAACCACTTTGCGTGTATTGAAATCAGAATGTAAAATTTTAAAATTCTCCCATTTACAGTGCATTTGAAAGACCTACCTTATCTGCCATAACATCAGCCAATCCAGACTGTTCGTCACTTCCACAAATTTTTGAGGAAGCATATGTGTCCTTCTCTAACTCCTGGACCTAGTTGTCATCATCACAGCCTTGTATTTCCTTACTTTTGTCTTTCAACAAGTTGTCTTCGCTAATTGCAATTACGGTTGGTTCCTCTGTAGCAAATTCTGAAAAACCACTCATCGATGTGGGAGAAGATCTGGTTGATGAGCTTGACACACATGAAATAGGAGACGATCTTCCATGATCCATGGTTGTCAAAGGAGACAATCTTGCGGAAGGCTCGTATGCTCGTACGCTCTGTTGTGAACCAAATTTTGGTGCTTGGTTTGAAAAGCCTTCCAAGGATGCCACATTCTTCAGTTTTCTCAAAGAAACTTTTAAATCTATAAGAAAATTAAAATGCATTAGCAAAAGACTAGGAAACATGAAATCAGAATAACAGTAAAATCATTGCCTTTTTGTGAGTGGCTAATGAATGGTGAGGAAAAGGCAAAATAAATGGCTTGTCCTAGCTTAATGCACCAGGATCATGGATTGTCCGCCGATCACCCGTCTTGTGACACATTTTGATTAAAAGTTGGACAAATCTTTTTGAACAAGCTTACCATCACTACTTTCGATTTGTTCCCGAAATCTTTCATTTTCACTTTTTAGGTGTTTGATTGTTGCCAGAAGCGTTCTATTTTCTCTTAAATTTGCAATCTTCATCACATACACTGTTGCCATCAAATAATTTAAGACTTTCCTAAATATTAAAATTATAAGCAATGAATACATATGTGTGCTGCCTGTGCACCAATTGGCATCTTTCCTAATTATCAACAACTGCAAGAATGTAATGTGTTCTTACTAACTCATGTGCCTATCTACCATCTCAGGTAGTATAAGGAAGCTTTTATATTACTGCTATTTCAATGCTAAAAGCTTAAATAATGTTAACATTTAGCTTTCACATCGTCTTATATACAAGGTGATTTTACTCTTTCTGACAGAGGCTTCCTTTTGACCTGTAACTATACAAACCTTCCTGTATCTTTCCTTTATCATGTTAGCCAGATTGGTTGATCGCTTTGATTGCTCAGCATTTTTAGATGCTGCTTTCTGCCTCTTCGTTGCAGCTTGTTCTTGCTGAAGAAAAACAGGATCAGAAATAAATGTGGGGAATATAAACTATGCACATAACTTGCTAATTACTATTATTTTTGTATATGTGCTCAAAAAACACCTTGTTAGAGAAAATTTGGAATGGAAAAATTATCTCTGTAACTTTAAGACTTTTACCTGTCTTTCTGTGTCACTGTCGCTATCATTTATAACACTGTTTGCATTTCTTACACGCTTGCGGAAACCTTTGCCTGTTTTAACCGGAGAATCATCTTCTCTCATGTATTTGAGTAACCAGTCTTTGTCATCTATTGTTTAATTAAAATATAACAAATATGAACAAAGATTATGGCAGGGATGGACTTGGTGCTGATTTCTGAATATGTCGTATCTAAAAGTGGGAAGTAATATATGCTGTTATATAGACAAATATTAAATTACTTGAGACTTCACACACTCTGCTCTGAATTATTTGGGATCATTTAGATGATTAGGACTTCAATCACCATGATATGAATCATACTTCAAACATGATATTTCAAAACAGCCTGATCTGAATCATTTGGGATCATTTATATGATTAGGACTTGAATATATTAACTATAAAACCCATCTTACCCTAAATAAATTATCTTTCTTTCAAGACATAAAACGTCAAAGCCAAAGGCGAACAATAATGACTCAAGGAATATATAAACTTAATTTCAAACCTGATATCTTTACAATCTCGGCAGGGAATTTTCTTTTGGTTGCTTTCTTGGATTTTGTATCTTTCCAAAGAACCAACATTTTTGTCCCGTTCTCGATTTCATTTTGTTTATGTTCCTGAGTAAAAACAATATCGGAATATGGAATGACATCCCAAGCATTCTCTTCGAAGAAATTAACCAAAGCGTAAGCCATTAAGTCGTTTAATTGCCGAGGTCTTTAAAACACTGTTGTCGGTAAATTCGAAATGGCCGCCAAGAGAGTTGGCATGTCATACTCAGGTCACATGTGGGCAAATTAAAATGCGAGCATGCCCATATTAGGGAATAATCGGATATTAACGTCTCGTCTCGACGCGATAGTTCCCAAAATATCCCAAAATATCCCAACTAATCCCAACATATTTCTTTTGTGATTTTCCTCCGATCTGCCGTTTTCCTTGAACTAATTACTGAAACTGTTAAAAGATAAAAGATTCTGAGAGTCTTGAAGATGGTCAAAGGTTAAACACGCTTATGTGTTGAGTACAAAGGTATGTAAATATTAATGTATGCTAAATATTGGTAATCGAAATCTATATATATTATATATATAATATTATATATATATATATAATATATATTATATATATATATATATAATATATTATATATATATATATATATTATTATATATATATAATATATATGTATCGCAAATCACTTTTTCTTGACTACAGATTATGCAAATAAAAAAGTGCAGCTATAGTTTCTCTAGAATAACTATAGTTTTATTAGTAACCATTTGTTGTAAACTATAGGTCTTTAAAAAAACTATAGTTCAAATTTAGTTTCAATTATAACTATAGTTTCCAGCGGCTACTATTTGTTGAAACTATAGTTTTTAAAACAACTATAGTTAAAGTATAGTTTGGAACAAAACTATAGTTTCGAAAAACTGTAGTTTCTGTATTTGGAAACTATAGTGTCACGAATAACTATAGTGTTTTCGTCTGAAACTATAGTTGTTCAGAAGAACTAAAGTTTTAAGGCAAAAAACTATAGTTTTTTGTCGAAACTATAGTTAGTTTTGTAAGGGGATCAAGATCATTAGATCTGGTCGCACAAGAAAGACAGTATAGAACTTAGTGCTTTAGATTTTAACATATATTTCGAACAGTTGCGTTAAAATTAGAATTCAATCAAGTTAACATTTATTGGGACGGTGAACACTGAACGAGGCACAACTTTTATATTCTAATACTTTTTATATTATAATAGGGGGGGGTGTTGGATTTTATGCGGAAATAGAATGATTATTATAATGCATGCAAACGTCATGGGTATAAATTAATACTGCATGGGGATCAATAGTAAGTAAGAAAATTGGATAATTAAGGACAGATTGGAAGTGAGGGTTAAACACACAAATTCCCAACACAGCCTCCTACTGCCAGAATGACCGGTCTTGTTAAAAACAATATTATAGGTAATAAAAATATCTACAATCCTCGCGAACATTTTCGTCTTATATTTCTTATCTTCGCTTTACTGGGAGAGTGTCCATTTCCCAGCTGCCTTGACAGACAGCGCAGCCTTGGAACACTCTGGCTTGAGATGCACGTGACTAGGCTGACCTTTGACCGTGAAACTGTCCGTAGTTGAGAAACTTTCCCGAAGCTGAGACTTGCTGACTTCGTCCTTGCGATGGGTTAATCCAGAACTGTCCTCGTCTAGTAGTTTCCAGACATCTTGTAACGACGCGCGGTCGTCTGATGAGAACGAAGGTTGCCATTGCGAGACGATTTCGTCACGAACAGTAGACGATTCCGGTAGGCCTGCTTTTTCTGCGAGTTCCGTGTTTGAAGAGTGTTTTTGAAGTTTTTGGGCCGACGTGGAATTTTTTTTGCGAGGAGATAGCGAATGCTGATCATTATTCCTCGCTAGTGTTCTCTGTGCATACTGCATGCAGTTCTTTGCTTGTTAGTTCATATTGCAACTGTTCCAAACCCCGTAGTTGGGATCGTGATGTTTGCGCCACATTCTGCGGATCTTTGGACGATTGACGTGCCTCAATAGATATTCCAAAATATCCCTTCAAATAACTTTATATTTCAACAATTCAGCTCTCAGCTTATTTCCCATTTTAATCAACTGTTTGCGTTCTTTTTTTACTCCATTTTTCCGTTGAGCAGCTTGACGTAGTTTGGTGTGTAATCCTTTAGATGACGATACTACTCCCTTCATACCAGGGACTTCTGAAAAAAAAGGAAAACGTTTAAAATTTAAATCCTGACAAAATCATTCAGAATTTTATGAAGTGAATTTAGGGTTTGTTATGTGTTGATGAGAAATGTTGATGAAAGGTTTTCCAGCCGCAATCAATTTACTGTTTGGAAAAGTCGTAACTTACAAATTGTGAACGGGTTTGAAATAAACTATAACAGTCATAGCTATATCACGCTATTTTAGGTGGATCAGAACAGCAAGAGATATGCATTCTATATATGGTCTAACAACTGACAGTGGTTGGGTTACATCACATACGTTTCAATTAATTCAGTAGATTTAGAATGTTCTACGGCAGTCGTGATTGTTAAGATTCTAAACACAAATAAGATAGCGTCAGACAGTACACTCACCTTTCTCTCGAAGGTCTTGTATAAACTGACTTTCTGTACGTATTCACACTCTAAAAAAAGGTGTGTTCAAATAACACACCTTTTTTGTCCAGAATATAACACAGGTTAAGGTGTGTTTTCTTACAACACGCAGGTGTGTCCCAAAACACACCTTAAGGTGTGTTTCTTGCTTGTCCAGAATTTGACACACCATAAGGTGTGTTTTGCAAAAGGTGTGCTTTAGTACAAACTAAGGTGTGTTTTGAAACACACTGTGGTGTGTTTTCCTACACAACTTTGGTGTGTTTTCCTACACAACTTTGGTGTGTTCCAAGACACTACTGCTAGGTGGTGCAAGGTGTGTTTTGGAACACACTAAGGTGTGCTACCCAACCACAAGATCAAATTGCCTAGGGAAATTATCTAAATAGAATGAATAGTCAGAACAGTTTGTCCATAAACAGTGAAATATGTATTAAAAATAGAAAACATTATCATACAAGAAAACACTTACATATTTCACAACAATATTTAAAAGTCATATGGAAATTTGCCTTAATAATAATTTGCCTTAAATATATGGCATGCATATAATATAAGCATGAATGTCCAGGCATGTATAAATTGTTCTAATCAGAATTGTCCTTAATTCCTTGGTGCACCTTTGCCATAAATGAGGAAAATTTTGTTCCTCTGTAGTTGCCATCATTTGTTGGCAAAAGAATGTCTTGTAGGAAAAGCAAGCATCCTTCCATACTTTCAGGGTAGGAGACGTGATATGCATAGTAACAACAAAGCAGGTCGATCAAACCTTGGAGTATACCTTCACTCTCAATAAATGACTGGTCTTCACCTGCCACAAAAACTTGGTTGACCTCCTCAGGAGACCCAATCACAACCAAGCGAAACTCGACATTTTGTCTTTGAACAAGGTTTCTGGTCTCATGGTGGATGCAGGCTGTAAAATAAAATTAAAACAGTTAATTACAATTCCAGCATTGAGGGTAAACCTAAAGATTAAGATCATTGATTTGCCACTGAGCTATCTACTAGAGTGTGCAAGGTGCAATTGACAAATACATACATCTTTGAATTTTAGAACACTTGTTGTTGTTCCTTTGTTCCTTTTTGTCTTTCTCTCAATTTGCTCCACAGCCTCCACAACCTGTTCACTTCTCAATTCACATTCCTTATCCTTAATTGTATGACAGCTTTCAATGCAGTCTCCAACTTCTTTTCAGCCTCTTTTTCCCAATTTTTCTGCCCAATGATTCTGCTAACTTCTTTTCTTACCTAATTAAGATAATCAAAGACATTTTGCAGGTGTTTGAAACAAGTTGCCATTGCTTCAATAGGGTTACCCATTGTTTTAATATTATACCCTAAAAACTACATGTGTATATATGACTGCACAAGACATCATGTGAAGATACTTACAACATTTGGATGACCAAGATATGGACATTCCTCCAAGACCTCTGTAGAAGATGTAGCTTGATTTTCGATAAATTTCCTCCGCTCATTAAATGTGTCGACAAAGAGTTTTGCAAATGTCTTAGGAGCCATTGCACCAGGTTTTGCTTTTTTCAAAAGCTCCATATTTCTTTTTTGAGCTTGCTCATCATCCTCTGCAGTCAGTTTTATTTTCTTTGATGCACTTTCATTTGCATGGCTATGGGGTTGCCCATGCATCGCTTTGTTAACTGTTCGCCGCCGAAGGTTTCTGAAGAATTGCGACAATTGTTTCTGGATTGATACCTATATATGTAGACAAAATATGATATTTGGGATTAGGATCATTGCCATGACAAGTATATTTTAAGTACATATACAGAATATTCCCTCTTGTGACACTTACCCAATAGCTTGCTTGATTGGAATCTCTCAACTCAGGGAATTTCTCGCACACTAAAATGGCAATCCTCTTGTAGTCACCTTGCTTTGGGTGGCTGGACAAACCATAATAAAAGGTCCCTACATCTGCAATCAGCTGTGTTCGCTCAGGGGCAACAGAGCCATTTTTTATTGCCATCTGCACTCGCACAGAGAAACTCTCAGGAAATGGGAGAGTGTTTGGTAGGGCTGTGGCATCTGAACTATTAGTAATAGGTTTGGGACTCTTGAGTGGTTTCTTCATTTGAACACCTGCTTTCACACTTTCAACACTGCTTTCACATGCCATGGTTGGCAAAGGTGGTTCCACTGGCAAAGGTGGTTCCACTGGCAAAGGTGGTTCAGTTGGCATTGATGGTTCTAGCTCTGATGTGTGTGGTTCATCATCATGTGGCATCACAATTTGCTGAGGCATTTTTTCCTATTATTGACAAATAGTAAATACTTTCATGTAAAATATTGAGAAGTAGTCATTATTAGTGATGGGAATACAATTGATTATTTCAATTGCCCAATGTGACAGTGCCTTCTCTCGGCTTATAATTTTCAATTAGTACTGTTATATAAAAGCCTGTTAGGCAAACTAAAGGAATTAACGACAAATTAATATTCTTGTTAAATCAAAGTTTATATTTATATCCTGTTTAAACAAAGTAAACTTACGTTTTCTGTTGTCGCAGATAAAGTAAAGGCCAATTTTTGTTTTAGTTGAATTCGATGGCCAGATTTAGGTAAGACCGCTTTGAATTCGTCGATGTCTTGCATCAAAAAGTTCAATGTACCCCCATCAATAGCATTTTCTGAAACATTATAATCATAAACTGTTAGTAGATCGTATTCATTAAACTGTATAATAAAAAAGAAAGCTTAACGCACACATAAAAACTTAAACGCTTTAGCATTTTGGCAATGGTTCAACCACATGAGGCATACCTTTCAGTTGATCGCAAATTTCTCTTGAGATGCCTTTTGATAACAAGTGAGGAATAAGGTCTTCAGTGAACATTGCTACTAAACACACAGCCATACTTGTGATGAAATTATATTTAAAAAACAGAGTAAATGTGACCTTCCACGGGAAAACATACGTTAACGCTATTTCGTTCGTTCGAAAATATCGTTCGTTATCCGTTCGTTTGCCGTTCAAACGCTTGAAGCGTTCGTTGAAACGATTTTCGAGATCGTTCATCGTTCGAAATTGCCCGTTCGAACGCTTAGGAAAAAACGTTTGAAAATTGGTCCGAAAGCGTTCAACCGTTTGATTTACCGTTCGTTCAACGCCGGAATTTCGTTCAATCGCATTGGATTTGGTTCAACATATTAGATTAAACATTTGCAATGCTACAACTTTGTAGAAGAAGCGCAGAATGTGCTACACAGAAATACTTCCAGAAACGTATTCAGTTTCTTAGTATAGAAGGCTTGTAAAGGAAATAGTGGGGTTATATCAATTTAGCCTAATCGAATGCTATTTTGTGCGCTTTATGTTATGGTTTATGCTTAGCGTCATGCAGACAGAAGGCTATTAAGATTCAGTGCATGCAATTATTCCATTAGCGTCAAATTTCACGTCTTAAGCTTTCTTTCAAAAAATTATCGTTTTTTGAATTTCGGTAATGCACTAAATGGTTAGAATTTGTGCTTTACTATACTTCTGTAGCTTCCATAAGCCAAATTTCACCGCGCACCCAAACAACTCGCAAGCCATATATTAGCATTACGAGCCATAATATGCCTTGGCAAGGTGCTGATTAAGTTGCATAATTGTCGGAAGTCTCTAAATGTATGTAAACAGACAAAACCAGATTTTAAAATGAATTGAGGGATTTTGCGTGTTACATATTAATATCGTACTTTTAAACCATGTGTATATATAGCTAATTTATTTACATCTGATAAACTTATCAGGCCTCCGTACGAAGCAGCTACTGATTAAAATCTATTCAAAATTAAGGACCGCATCCTAGGACGGACCTTTCAGCTTGAAATTCGTTGTCTTTAATGCAGTCTGACATAGCTACAAATTATACAACAATTGAAATACCCTAGGTAATATTTGAAGACATAAATACAGTGACCTAACGCGCGTTCGGTAGGGTTACGACGAGAACTAAGAGATCCTCATTTATTGGAGGCCAGGATAGATAACGAAACATCATAGTATAAGCAAAACGTGATTTATGACAAACAGCGAATTAAGGGACCCCGCAGTACCAAGTATACCTCAAGACCCCATCCTCGGCTCTGTTAGTTACGCCACTGCATGAATATAATAACAATTTAAATATGTACGTGCATCTAGTCTAAAACTAGAGCCGGAGCAACAAGATCCTCAGTGCCCCGCTTACAAAATTGTCTTATTTCCTTAAAAAGGTTTCTTTGTCTCCCCAGATCTAAGCCATCTGGCTCGATCGTTGCTGGCATGTTGAACGGTGGCAATTGCATAAATATAACTTATATATGGCATAAATATAACTCATGCATTGTAAATATTTATTTAGACTCTTATTTAACAAAAAAATACTTCATATATATTGATATATGCACATTTCAGCACAATTCACTCCCCATGTATATTTTGGTTGTAATTTGATTTCTCTCGACTTGCTCCTCGAATCGGAAACGTGGAACGCGGAAAAGGCTCAAATCGTATAAATGATAGAGACTGTATGAGAGTAATGAACCTATATCAATGATGTTCATTGTGTGACTTTTTTTATTACAAAAAATTCCGTGTTTTGTGAGGTTGAGTTTTGCGCTATGTTTTAAAGTGCGTGCAGTCCTTCATTGCGCACAACTGGGCTGACACAAGCCCAAAGGGCAAGTTGCCAAGCTAACGTTTACAAACATTTAAGTTTGACCTTTCAGATATTTTGCCACATATATTTCGCTATGTATAATTCATCAGAAAAGGAGCATTGGAATTTATCTTGCTTGGACAACATATCAGCTGTTGGGCAACAGGAAAATTTTCACTAATTTTGATTTGGGCTCCCTTGATTAGAAATTACATTCCGGATATTAAATTGCAATTATGCATGGTCATTGCACCTTGAAGCCTGCCAGCTAGAGCGGCAAAATGAGCAAATTTGAAATGGCGCCTGTCAACTGTTTATGCGTGCATGAGCACGCGGGTAAAGATCTTTACCAATAATTTCGCGAAAACTGTCCCAAATATTTGCTGGATATTAGCATCTATGAAGAAGTCAAGGCGTTTTAACGCAAGCATATATAAAGGTTAATACCAGGTATGAACACTAAATGAAACATTAGCTATGATATAAGGAAAGTCATGACTTGGCCACTTTATTAGGCGCGCTTGCAATTATTTTCCTCCAAGCATTGAAATCAGGCTTATTGATGAAATCATCAACAGAATTCGTATAGCGGTTCTCTCGATTTAAACTAAAGTTTTTTTTCCCTTGAGTGTATTTGCTTGGCTAAACTGTAGCTCTCTATTGACCATGCATATATATCGAAATATGACACGCATTCGAAGTAAGATTTCATATAGATGATCATGCAATTGTATATAACAAGACGTTCTCAATTGCATTTTATGTATATGTTAACGCGAGTAAAATGTATTCGGATATAAATGCGCACTGCAATATAACTCTTTAGATTGCTTATCATGGCCGGTGGAATCAAGTTGGGCCACGATCATCCAATCATTCCGAATAAACATGACATGAAAGGTTGCCAGACCTTGAAAATGGCTTGGCTGAGGTTAGAAAAGTTGTTAGCTTGGGCCGTGGTGGTTACAATTTACAGGATGCATTTACTTACATTGAAACAACAATTGTTTACAAATTTTGCTGACATTTTTCATAAAAAAGGGGTAGATGCTACCTCAAAATATATATAATTATATGATATAAAAAGATTTCGCCAGACAAAATGGATTAATGCTTTCATGCATGTCTTAAATAATCTTGATTAGTTAATTTTACTGTAAGCAGGAGGCACAAATTGTGTCACAAGTAGATGTCTCGAAGATGTTGAGGATCGTTTGTTTCTTAAAATGGTGAGTATAAACTCCCCTGTGCATGCATTTGGCATTGTCGTTTCTATATGGGCGGCAGCATTGCTATATGCTTTGCAGAAAAAATTATTTGCACTCTTTGTGATTTAAAAACCCGGTTTCTATGGCCGGGGTTGAGTATTAAGTTGTTTTGCAGGGCGGAACTGAATTCGGGTAGGGATAAAATGCGGATACGGATTGCGGATGGCGGATGCGGATGGGAAAATGCGGATGGGAAAATGCGGATGAGGGCATAAAATGCGGATGGAAAAATGCGGATGAGGGGATAAAACGCGGATGGGAAAATGCGGATGAGGGGATAAAACGCGGATGGGAAAATACGGATGAGGGGATAAAACGCGGATGGGAAAATGCGGATGAGGGGATAAAGCGCGGATGGGAAAATACGGATGAGGGGATAAAACGCGAAAAAAGGAAAACGATTTTTATATGTGATTTCCTTATATAAATATATATGTCTTACCTTCTTGTGTTTCTCCCGTCTAAGCTTCTTTACCACGACTAGCTTATCTTTCACGTTTGCCAAAGAAGCGTCCATAAAACTGCCTTTTTCCAATTTTTTATTTTTACTCCGGCGCCAGCGACGGAGTTGAAAATTCGCCTCGGGTTTTTTTATCGTCGCAAGTGTGTAATGTGTATGTGACCGTATTTATTTACGTCCCGTGCACGATTCGATTTCGCTCGCATGATACGGCAATTCCTCCAAGAGGAACAAATAAACAGTTCTTTTCATGCTGCTCGATTGAATATCGCCGCTATTTCGCCGTTTAACAAGCTGTGGTCGTGTATGGGCGCGTTGACACGTCGTAGTTTGCACAGGATTGAAGATTTAATATAACTATGTATAAGCGCGAATTCCAAAGGCAAAGTGTAAGACAAAGCGAATATATCATGCGGTTTATTTACATTTTTCAACAATTGAACTTCTATACTTTTTAAAGTACGTTGTGCTTCGCGATCGAACATTTAGGTTCGCAAGGCATCTAAATGCGAATGTGAACTGTATTGTTTATGTTCAAAAGCTTTATATTGAAGACTGACACGTGCGCCGGAATTAACGCCAGGACAGGCGTCTTGTTCTACAACATCTGCCCACGGGATTTGCTTGATTGCATCAATTAATTTCTTCTGAACATAAACAATACAGTTCACATTCGCATTTAGATGCCTTGCGAACCTAAATGTTCGATCGCGAAGCACAACGTACTTTAAAAAGTATAGAAGTTCAATTGTTGAAAAATGTAAATAAACCGCATGATATATTCGCTTTGTCTTACACTTTGCCTTTGGAATTCGCGCTTATACATAGTTATATTAAATCTTCAATCCTGTGCAAACTACGACTTGTCAACGCGCCCATACACGACCACAGCTTGTTAAACGGCGAAATAGCGGCGATATTCAATCGAGCAGCATGAAAAGAACTGTTTATTTGTTCCTCTTGGAGGAATTGCCGTATCATGCGAGCGAAATCGAATCGTGCACGGGACGTAAATAAATACGGTCACATACACATTACACACTTGCGACGATAAAAAAACCCGAGGCGAATTTTCAACTCCGTCGCTGGCGCCGGAGTAAAAATAAAAAATTGGAAAAAGGCAGTTTTATGGACGCTTCTTTGGCAAACGTGAAAGATAAGCTAGTAGTGGTAAAGAAGCTTAGACGGGAGAAACACAAGAAGGTAAGACATATATATTTATATAAGGAAATCACATATAAAAATCGTTTTCCTTTTTTCGCGTTTTATCCCCTCATCCGTATTTTCCCATCCGCGCTTTATCCCCTCATCCGTTTTCCCATCGCGTTTTATCCCCTCTCCGTATTTTCTCATCCGCGTTTTCCCTCATCCGCATTTTCCCATCCGCGTTTTCCCCTATCCGTATTTTCCCATCCGTTTTTATCCCCTCATCCGCTTTTCCCATCCGCGTTTTATCCCTCATCCGCATTTTCCCATCCGCGTTTTATCCCCTCATCCGTAT